AAAAAAAAAAAAACCCTCAAACTCTAGGCCGGGCATGGTGTTGGCTCACACCTGTAATCCCAGCACTTTGAGAAGTCGAGGCGGGAGGATCACCAGAGGTCAGGAGTTCGAGACCAGCCTGACCAACATGGAGAAACCCTGTCTCTACTAAAAATACAAAATTGGCCGGGCGCGGTGGCTCAAGCCTGTAATCCCAGCACTGTGGGAGGCCGAGGCGGGTGGATCACGAGGTCAAGAGATCGAGACCATCCTGGTCAACATGGTGAAACCCCGTCTCTACTAAAAATACAAAAAATTAGCTGGGCATGGTGGTGCGTGCCTGTAATCCCAGCTACTCAGGAGGCTGAGGCAGGAGAATTGCCTGAACCCGGGAGGCGGAGGTTGCGGTGAGCCGAGATCGCGCCATTGCACTCCAGCCTGGGTAACATGAGTGAAACCCCCTCCCCAAAAAAAAAAAATAAAAAAAAAATACAAAATTAGCCAGGTATGGTGGTACATGCCTATAATCCCAGCTACCTGGGATGCTGCGGCAGGAGAAACCCCAGAACTCAGGAGGTAGAGGTTGTGGTGAGCCAAGATCATGCCATTGCACTCCAGCCTGGGCAACAAGATTGAAACTCCATCTCCAAAAAAAAAAAAAAAAGACCGAGCGCTGTTGCTCACACCTATAATCCCAGTACTTTAGGAGGCCCAGGCTGGCGGATCAAGAGGTCAGGAGTTCAAGACCAGCCTGGCCAACATAGTGAAAGCCTGTCTCTACTAAAAATATAAAAATTAGCCAGATGTGGTAGCACGCGCCTATAGTCTCAACTACTCGAGAGACTAAGGCAGGAGAATCGCTTGAACCTGGAAGGCAGAGGTCGCAGTGAGCTGAGATTGTGCCACTGCACTCCAGCCCGGGTGACAGAGAGAGACTCTGTGTTAAAAAAAAAAAAAAAAAACCTCAAATGTCTCGGCTCAAGTCATCCTCAGACTCCTGAGTAGGTAGGAACACACCACCAGACCTGGCTAATTTTCTTTTTTGTTGTTGTTGAGACGGAGTCTCCCTCTGTTGCCCAGGCCGGAGTGCAGTGGTGCAATCTCTGCTCACTGCAACCTTCGCTTCCCAGGTTCAAGCAATTCTCCTGCCTCAGCCTCCTGAGTAGCTGGGATTACAGGCACCCACCACCATGCCCAAACAATTTTTGTATTTTCAGTTGTTCTGGGGTTTCATCATGTTGGCCAGGCTGGTCTCAAACTCCTGACCTCAGGTGATCTGCCTGCCTCAGCCTCCCAAAGTGCTGGGATTAAGGGCATAAGCCACCATCCCTGGCCATACCTGGCTAATTTTAAAAAATTATTTGTAGAGATAGGGTCTCACGATGTTGCCTAGGCTGGTCTCAAACTTTGGACTCAAGTGATCCTCCAGCCTCGGCCTCCCAAAGCACTGGGCTTACAGGTGTGAGCCACCATGCCTGGCCCTCAAGCATCTCATTTTAGATGGGAAAATTAACAATACGATAAATTCCATTCCCAGAGCAAACCCCAAATAAAATGTTAGGACACCAGGAAGAAAGTCTTGGCATTTGATGAGCAGCAAACTAAACCAGGCCATTACCCAGGGATACTTCACGTTTATTCAGAGGATAAAAGCCCAGCGTGATGACCATGTGATTCCCAAAGGTATCTACAAATCACACAAAAGTGCATGACATCTAGTAATAAATAATTTTGCTGAAAAATGAATTAGAACCTCTCACACTCCAAGGCTAATATGCGGGAACAAATCACGTTAGCTAGAGAACAAACCATCTGTAGTTTCCACTCAACCTGGCTGTGTTCTCTCTTGTACTGCATATATGCTTGTTAAAGTTTAACAGGGTCCCTTGGTTTTTCCAGCTCTGTGGTATCGCAGTGTATAACGCGTATCGCACACATTAGAGACACACACAAATGCGGAGACTGGCTGCTGGGAAGCCCCATCATTCAATCCCCAGTTGATCATCACTTGCCAAAGTAAAACAACATGGCCATATAATCATTCCACGGTAGGGATCCAATCCTCACCGTGTCCTTTCCTATCCAAATGGAAGACTTTTGCAGTGGAAGTCTCCTAACCGACACTGAGGTCACTTTCCCTTACCAGAGTCCTCTTTTAAATCTATTAACTGGTTCCAATTACCTTTTCATTGTTGCTGTTTGTTTTGGGACAGGGTCTCTCTGTCACCAGGCTGGAGCGCAGTGGCATGATCATAGCTCACTGCAGCCTCAAACTCCCAGGCTCAAGCAATCCTCTCATCTCAGACTCTCAGTAACTAGGACTACAGGTGTGCACCACTACACCAATAACTGATTATCTATTTTTGAGACAGGGTCTTGCTCTTCTGCCCAGCCTGGAGTGCAGTGACTTGATACCCGCTCACGTCAACCTCCACCTCCAGAGTTCAAGCCATCCTCCTGCCTCAGCGTCCGTGGTACCTGGGACTACAGGCATGTGCCACCACACCTGGCTAAACTTTGCATTTTTAGTAGAGATGGGGTTTCACCATGTTGGCCAGGCTGGTCTTGAACTCCTGACCTCAAATGATCTGCCCGCCTTGGCCTCCCAAAATGCTGGGATTACAGGTGTGAGCCACCACACAGGCCCTAACTAATTATCTTTAGTCTGCAAAACAGATTACAGGCTTTTTTAAGGGCTCAGGGGTTGGGAAGCTCAAGTTCTCCCTTGCTTCCTACCTCCACACCAGATTTAAACGCCTCTTTTGAGTCATGGAAGCTATCCTTCCGTCCATTCTTCACCAGACCCACATATCCTTGATAGGAAATTCAATGTAAAGGAGAAAATGTCTGCACTCAAAGGTCAGAGAGCCTCAAGTTAAAATCCCAGTGGTTTCACTGACTGTACGCTATCAGGCACATCACTGAAGCTCTCCAAGCCTTAGGCTGCTCACCACTAACAACCATGAGAACAGGAATAAGGACTTCTCAAGGCTGTCATGAAGACTAAATCAGAAAATACATGTGCCAGCAGATGGTGAATGCCTGATCAACAACACATTCATTTCATTTTACCTTCTGCTGTGCTTTGAATGTGTCCCCCGAAGTTCACATGTTGGAAATTTAATTCCCAATGTAACAATGTTGGGAGGTGGGGCCTACTGTCAGGTATTTAGGCCATGAGGGCTTCACCCTCATGAATAATGTCTTATCTCAGGAGCGGGTTTGTAATCAAATCAGGGTCAGCCCCCATCTTGCTCTCCCTCTAGCTCTCTCTCACTCTTGCACTCTCTTGCCCTTCCATTCTGCCATGGGGTGATGCAGCAAGAAAACCTTCATTAGATGCCAGCTCCTTAACCTTGGACACCACCTTCTCCTCTCAGCATGAACATCAGTCTACCCTCTTTTACATTAAAGCTGTTTTTTTTTTTTTTTTCTTTTTCTAAGATGGAGGCTCCCAAACTGCTGGGATTACAGGCCTGAATCAATGAGCCGGCCCTAAAGCAGTTTTCCTAAAACATCACATAGGAAGTAAATTGCAAGTCAAACTAAATTTTAAAATGCACTAGAAGGGTCCAAAATTGATTCCCTTTGAGGAAAACATACTGTTGCCTATTTGATTTTAAGAACTGGAATTCTTTTTTTTCTTTTTTTTTTTTTTTGGAGTCAGTCTCCCTCTGTTGTCAGGCTGCAGTGTGGTACAATCTCAGTTCACTGCAGCCTCCCCTTCCTGGGTTCAAACAATTATCACGTCTCAGCCAGCCTCCCAAGTAGCTGGGATTACAGGCACTTGCCCTGACACCTAATTTTTGTATTTTTAGTAGAGATAGGGTTTTGCCATGTTAGCCAGGCTGGTCTGCAACTCCTGACCTCAAGTGATCAGCCCGCCCTGGCTTCCCAAAGTTCTGGGATTAGAGGCGTGAGCCACTGCACCTTGTCCACCCAAGAATTTGAATTATAATCTCTGGAATTTGTTTGAAGAAGGGTTCTTGGTCAATCTATCCTTTACATTTATCAAAAGACTGCTTTGTAAGTAGCTTGCAGGTGCATCTGCTTTCTCCTATTTCAGAAGAACCTCCCCAAAAGCAAAACCATAGTTTTCCTCCACAAGCTCCTATGATACCTAATATATGCTAGACACTAAGCATTCATTAGTGTCTAGTAACTGATGATGGTAAGGTGATGGTAAGTCTCAAAGGGGAAAAAAATCTCTCTAAAATTACCTGTTCAAGAAGCTCAAGACCAAGAAAAACATGCTCAGCTCTGAATCAGAAATTACAGAGGTACAGTCATATGTGGAACTCTGCACTGCTTTTCCCTTAGCAATGTACCTCATATTACAGAGACTATTTCAGAAAATCCTAAATAACTTGCTTTGTTCCAAAGATGTAGCCCAGCACTAGGGCACTAAGGAGTTTTCAGTCTCAAGACATTTGTGTTCACTCTACCATGGAGAAGTTTCAGTAAGAAAGGTGGGGAAAAGCAGGTTCATCACAGTGTTCTCCTATACTACAAAGGAATCAAAATGGGAACAATGAAGTCCACTTACTTGCATGAATTTCAGACCAACAAGGCGGAATCCCTTCTGCTCAAAACGCTTGATAATCTCTCCCACAAGACCCCGCTGGACCCCATCTGGTTTGATCGCAATGAAGGTACGCTCACAGTTGGCCATGGTCCTGGGGATAGGCAGGTAGAGGAATGAAACAGCACGGAATCACTTGCCTACATTGTCATCCTTCTCAAGCGGATTATCCCATAAAGCTGCTTTAAATCTGTCGGGTCAGCTCCAGGTCTTCCTCTGATAAAAACCCAATTCCTCCCTAGTCCTCTCATCAATGAACTAATATGTTGAACTGGGGAATGGTCCAAAAGCAAGGACTGTAATATCTATCCCATTTGATTTATTTTATTTTTATTTCTTTTGGTTTTTTTCTCAAGAGATGGGGTTTCTCCATGTTGCCCAGGCTGGTTTCAAACTCCTGTCCTCAAGTGATCCATCTACCTCAGCCTACCAAAGTGCTGGGATTACGGCCATGAGCCACCACACCTAGCCCCATTTGATTTTTTTTTTTTGGTATTGGGTCTTGCTCTGTCACCCAGGATGGAGTGCAGTGGCGTGATCTCGGCTCACTGCAACCTCTGTTTCCCAGGTTCAAGCAATTCTCCCACCTCAACCTCCCAAGTAGCTGGGACAATAGGCACATGCCACCACATCCAGCTAATCTTTTTTCTTTTTTTTTTTTTTTTTTTTTTTTGAGACGGAGTTTCACTCATGTTGACCAGGATGGTCTCGATCTCTTGACCTCGTGATCCACCCGCCTCGGCCTCCCAAAGTGCTGGGATTACAGGCTTGAGCCACCGCGCCCGGCCTTTTTTTTTTTTTTTTTTTTTTTTTTTGGAAGTAGAGACAGGGTTTCACCATGTTGGCCAGGGTGGTCTCAACTCCTGACCTCAAGTGATCTGCCTACAGGTGTGAGCCTCACACTGGCCCCCATTTGATTTAATAAGATCTTCCTTTTTGTTTTTTTTTAAGACAGAATCTCGCTCTGTCACCAGGCTGGAGTGCAATGGCAAGATCTCGGGACACTGCAACCTCCGCTTCCTGGGTTTATGCAATTCTCCTGCCTCAACCTCCCTAGTAGCTGGGACTTCAGATGCTCACCACGCCCAGCTAATTTTTGTATTTTTAGTAGAGACAGGGTGTCACCATGTTGGCCAGGATGGTCTTGATCTCTTAACCTCATGATCTGCCCACCTCGGCCTTCCAAAGTGCTGGGGTTACAGGAATGAACCACAGTCTCCGCCAATAAACTTTTTTTTTTTTTTTTTTTTGGGACGGAGTTTCACTCTTATTACCCAGGCTGGAGTGCAATGGCGCGATCTCGGCTCACCGCAACCTCCGCCTCCTGGGTTCAGGCAATTCTCCTGCCTCAGCCTCCTGAGTAGCTGGGATTACAGGCACGCGCCACCATGCCCAGCTAATTTTTTGTATTTTTAGTAGAGACGGGGTTTCACCGTGTTGACCAGGATGGTCTCGATCTCTTGACCTCGTGATCCACCCGCCTCGGCCTCCCAAAGTGCTGGGATTACAGGCTTGAGCCACCGCGCCCGGCCCCAATAAACTTTTTTCAAGCATCTACTGTGTAACAAACACTGTGGTGGAACTAAGATACAGGATGTAAAAGCAAGGCACTATCTTTCTCAAGAATCCAGCTTGGGGAAAACTACATTGATAAAAATTTTACTAATGTGAAAGTGATGTCTTGATACAAGGTAGTATGAAATAATACTTTGACTTAATGCCACAGCCATAGCATTAAGGGTTTTAGAGAATATATCGTTACAACCCCCTTCATTTTACAAATAAGGAAACAGGACTAGAGCATCAGAATGAAGGCCAAAACCCAGAATTCCTAATCCATTAATCCATTCTTGTATCCTACACCTTATACAAGGAATATTTTGAGTAGCCAATAAACAGTGGGGTTTGGGAGAACTAAAGACAGTAATATCTGATATGGGGCATCATACTGAAAGGAAGCCTAGAGAGCACCTATTTCAGCTCTTCATTTTACAGAAGACTGGGCTCATGACCTATCCTGTATCACAGAAGGAGACAGGAGGCCCCTCGACTTGAAAGACAATCCCTAAAGCAGACAGCAGCACCACCCCTCGGCCCCACCCTCCTGTCCTTTAGTTAACCTCTTCTTACAGCATCTTAGCACTGTAGTCCAATTTTCTGTTTGTGTGTCTGCCTCCCCACCGGTCTCTGGCCTGCACACCAAGCTGGTTTACTCCTGTGTAGGTCTATGGAACCTAGCCACAGGGACTAGCAGTCAGTAACAGCAAAGAAAATGTCTTAAATGAGCATCGCCCTGCAACTTCCAAAAAAAGAGAGAGAGAGAGAGAAACAAAGCCCAAAGACTGTGGAGAATCCCCCGATGAGGCTCGGGGCAAACATAGATTGTGCAGGATAAAATAGGACTAAATCCGAGTCACGGCAGCAATAAAATTAAAAAAAATTTAAAAAAGAAAATAGGACTAAAGCACCAGAAATAGCCCCTAAAAATGTCCCTCCACATCGATCCCAGTGACACAACAGTAAGCACTCAGTGCCTGCTGAATGAATGACACACACACGCGTGTCATTCAGCAAGCACTTACTGAGCGCCAACTCCATGCCCGGCACTGCACTCCACAGAGACAAATAAGGCACAGCCCTGTCGTTGCGGCCTGACAAGAAAGGCGGCCACCGATGATGGCGAGTCCACGTGGCGTGGGACTTGCGCCGACCGGTCTGCACCTGTCCACAGGCGCTCCCTGCCCCTCCTCCCATCAGATCCTCCTCACCGCCTCTCAGAGCTGAACTCTCCTCTTCACTAAGCCGCCTCACCTCCCCCTCTCCCGCGACTCCACTCCTTTCCCTTTCCTCTCAGGATCCCGAACTCCTCTTACCCCTCCAGCTGCTTGGCTTTGAACTCTGGCTGCAGCCTCCAGCACCCGAAAGGCGCCCGGGCCCCACGTGGTTAGCAGCACTTGTACGCAGGGAACGGTTCTGCACAGATCCGCTGCCGGAGAGCCCATTTTGCCGAACACCGCCTGCCCACGCTTCCTCTTGGGAGTAGGCAGTCAATCTAGGGAACAACTTTCCGCTGTTTAACTTCCGGCTCTAGCTTCTTCAGGCCCTTCCGGTTAGTGCGTGCTTTCGTCCCTCCACCCCCGGGTTCTCTGACTCACTTCCTTCGTTCGAAAGCAAATTGACTTCCCGAGAGGTGGCGCTCACACGTTGCATGAAGTCCAAAAAGCGCCTGACCTAGAAGTAGAGTTTTCGCTCCCGCTTTGTGTTTATTCACCTCTTCTAGCCTGTCAAGCAATATATTGTTTATTGAGTACCTACTATGTGCACGCAGTATTCTAGGCCCTAGGGATACAACAGTTGCTCTCTTGTAGCTTCTGGGAGGGATGGGAGTATAGGAAAACGAAACAAATAAGCAAATTAATATGTAATAGATCATATCATGTAAGTGCTGTGAAGAGAAGGCCAGAGAAATCTCTGAGGAAGTGATAATAGAATAGACCTGCCTGAAGTGAGGGGGCAAGCCCAGTGATAATCTCTGAGAGCCAGGTATTACGGTGGGCATCGAGTGGTAGAAAACACGGTTAGAATAGAGCCAAATCTTTTCTCCTGAGACAGAGTCTTGCTCTATCGCTTAGGCTGGAGTGCAGTGGCTCGGTGCAGCCTCCGCCTCCCGGTTTCAAGCGATTCTCCTGCCTCAGCCTCCCGAGTAGCTGTGACTACAGGGGCCTGCCATCATGCCCGGCTAATTCTGTATTTTTAGTAGAGATGGGGTTTCACCATGTTGGCCAGGCTGGTCTCGAACTTTTGACCTGGTGATCCACCCACCTTGGCCTCCCAAAGTGCTGGGATTACAGGCGTGAGCTGCCATGGCTGGCCGTTGATTTCTTACTTGCTTACTTATTTATTTGTTTAGACATTGTTTGGCTCTGTCGCCCCGCCTGGTGTGCAATGGCAGAATCTCCACTCACTATAACCTCTGCCTCCCGGGTTCAAGCGATTCTCCTGCCTCAGCCTCGCGAGTAGCTGGGACTACAGGCCCGCACGCCTGGCTAATTTTTATATTTTTTAGTAGAGATGGGGTTTCACAGTGTTAGCCAAGATGGTCTCGATCTCGTGACCCCTTGATACGTCTGCCTTGGCCTCACAAAGTGCTGGGATTACAGGCTTGAGCTACCGCTCCCAGCCAGAGCCAAATCTTATGTTGTGAGATGCCAGTACAGATTTTGCACAAGCCATGACATCATCACTGATAAACGTTTTCAGGAAAAAAAAAAAAAAAATTCTCAGGCCGGGCGCGGTGGCTCAAGCCTGTAATCCCAGCACTTTGGGAGGCCGAGGTGGGTGGATCACGAGGTCAAGAGATCGAGACCATCCTGGTCAACAAGGTGAAACCTCGCCTCTAGTAAAAATACAAAAATTAGCTGGGCATGATGGTGCGTGCCTGTAGTCCCAGCTACTTGGGAGGCTGAGGCCGGAGAATTGCTTGAACCCAGGAGGCAGAGGTTGCGGTGAGCCGAGATCGTGCCATTGCACTCCAGCCTGGGCAACAACAGCAAAACTCCTTCTCAAAAAAAAAAAAAAAAAATTCTCACTGCTCTTAAGGGGAAAGGTACAAAAATGGAATCAGGAGCCTTTTCAACAAATGATGCTGGAGCAATTGAACAAATATAGACCGAAAAAATTAACCTCAACCTAAAACTCACATCTTATACAAAATTAACTCGAATCATAGATTTAAATGTAAAATAAACCACTAATGGGGAAAAAAAAAACTTAAAAAAAAATCCTCAGGACCTACGGCTAGGCAAAGAATTTTTAGACAATACCAAAAGCCCAATCTATAAAAGGAAAAGGTTGATAAATTGAATCTTATTGAAATTTAAAACTTTTGGCCTAGTGAGGTGGCTCATGCCCCTAATCCCAGCACGCTGGGAGGCAGAGACAGGAGGGAGGCGGGAGGATCACTTGAGCTCAGGAATTCGAGACCAGCCTGGGCAACATGGTGAAACCCCGTCACTACTCAAAATATAAAAATTAGACCGGAGTGGTGGCGTGCGCCTGTAGTCCCAGATACTCGGGAGGCTGACACACCAGAATCGCTCGAACCCCAGAGGCAGAGGTTGCAGTGAGCCAAGATTGTGCCAGGGCACTCCAGCCTGGGCAACAGAGCCAGACTCGGCCTCTAATAAATAAATAAAATTTCTTTTTTTTTTTTTTTTTGAGAACAAATTTTGCTCTGTCACCTAGGCTGGAGCACAGTGGCACAATCTCTGTTCACTGCAAACTCTGCCATATGAGTTCAAGCCACTCTCATGCTTCAGCCTCCCAAGTAGCTGGGACTACAGGCGTGTGCCACCACACCTGGCTAATTTTTGTATTTGTAGTACAGATGAGGTTTCCCCATGTTGGCCAGGCGGGTATCGAACTCCTGATCTCAAGTGATCCATCCGCCTTGGCCTACCAAAGTGCTGGGATTACAGGTGTGAGCCACTGTGGGCATTTATTTATTCATTTATTTAGACGAAGTCTTTGTCTGTCGTCCAGGCTGGAGTGCCCTGGCTTTATGGGGGTGAGCCACCCCAGCCTTTATTGATTGATTGAGACACAGTCTTGCTCTATTGCCCAGGCTGGAGTGCCTTGGTGTGATCTCGGCTTACTGCAGTCTTTGCCTCCCGGTTTCAAGCAATTCTCCTGTGTCAGCCTCCCGAGTAGCTGGGACTACAGCTGTGTGCCACCACACCCTGCTAATTTTTGTATTTTTAGTAGAGACAGGGTTTCACCATTTTGGTGAGGCTGGTCTTGAACTCCTGACCTCAGGTGATCCGTCCACCTTGACCTCGAAAAATGCTGGGATTACAGGCATGAGCCACCGTGCCTGGCAGAAAAGAAATTTAAAACATTTGCCCTGTGAAAGACCTTTTGAAGAAGATGTAAAAACAAGCTGGAGAGGAGGAAAAAATTTGCAAACCACATATCAGATAAAGGCCTTGTCTTTGTTTCAAAGTTTGAATATTTGAAGAGCTCTGAATACTCAACAGGTTAAAAAAATCCGATTAGGCCGGGCGCGGTGGCTCAAGCCTGTAATTCCAGCACTTTGGGAGGCCGAGGCGGGTGGATCACGAGGTCAAGAGATCGAGACCATCCTGGTCAACATGGTGAAACCCTGTCTCTACTAAAAATACAAAAAATTAGCTGAGCATGGTGGCGCGCGCCTGTAATCCCAGCTACTCAGGAGGCTGAGGCAGGAGAATTGCCTGAACTCAGGAGGCGGAGGTTGCGGTGAGCCGAGATCGCGCCATTGCACTCCAGCCTGGGTAACATGAGTGAAACTCTGTCTCAACAAAAAAAAATCTGATTAGAAAATGGACAAAAGACACGAATAGACATTTCATTGAACAGGATATACAGAGGCAAGAAAGCACATGAAAAGATGTTCAACATCATTAACCACCAGGGAAATTCAAATTAAAACCAAATCAGCTATTACTACATGCCTATGAGAATGCTAAAATGAAAAGTAGTGACACACCAAATGCTATTAAGGAGGTAAAGAAACTAGATCCACATTACTGGCAGGAAATGTAAAATTGTACAGCCACTCCGAAAAAGTTTGACAATTTCATATAAAACTAAACATGTGCTTACCATATGACCCAGCCATTGCACTCTTGAGCATTTACGCAACAGAAAAGAAAACTTAGGCTCTGTTCACACAAAAACCTGTGCACATATGTTCCTTGCAGCTTTATTTTTAATAACCAAAAACTGGAAACAACACAAATGTCTTTCATCATGTGAATGGTTAAACAAACTATGCTACATCCATACCGTGGAATGCTACTCAACAATAGAAAAAAATAACAAACTATTAATACATGCAATATACATAATTCCTTGGATAGATTTCAAGGGAATTATGCTGACTGAAGAAGGGCCCATCATAAAAAGTTACATATTGTATTCTTGCATTTATTTAACATTTGTGAAATATTAATAACGAAAGTATAGACATAGAGGATAGACTAGTTTAGTGGTTCCCAGGAATTAGAGATGGGGGAAAGGGCCAGTTATGGTGGCTCTCACCTGTAATCCCAGCACTTTGGGAGGCTGGGCAAGAGGATCCCTTGAAGCCAGGAGGCAAGACCAGCCTGCGTAGTACAATGAGGCACTGCCAGAGGCCTTCGAACTAGAGCAACTCCATCTTGATTAGAGGCTGGGTAAAATGAGGCTTAGTCAAGGATGAGATAGAAGATCGACACAAGGGCTGGGCATGGTGGCTCATCCCAGTAATCCCAGCACTTTGGGAGGCGGAGGGGGGTGGATTACCTGAGGTCAGGATATCGAGACCAGTCTGGCCAACACAGTGAAACCCTGTTTCCACTACAAATGCAAAAATAATTAGATGGGCATGGTGGCACATGCCCATTAACCCCAGCTACTCAGGAGGCTGAGGCAGGAGAATTGCTTGAACCTGGGAGGCAGAGGTTGCATTAAGCCAAGATTGGGCCACTCCAGCCTGGGTGACAGAGTGAGACTCCATCTCAAAAAAAAAAAAAAAAAGAAGATCCACAGGTGATACAGATCACAAAGACCTTGGTGATCAAACAGTGGTAAAGAAACTGGCCAAATCCCACCAAAACCAAGGTGGCAACAAAAGTGACCTCTGGTCGCCCTCATTGCTCATTATATGCTAATTATAGTGCATTCACACACTAAAAGACACTCCCACCAGCACCTTGACAGTTTACAGATTCCATGGAAATGACCAAAAGTTACCCTATATGGTCTAAAAAGGGGAGGTGCGCTCAGTTGGGGGAGGGGGGAAAATTGCTCATCCCTTTCCCAGAAAACTCACAAACAACCCACCCCTTGTTTAGCATATAATCAAGAAATAACCATAAAAATAGCCAATCAATAGCCCTCTGGCTACCTGTAGAGTAGCCATTCTTTTATTCCTTTACTTTCTTAATAAACTTGCTTCCACTTTATGGGCTAGCCTGGAATTATTTTTTTATTTTTTTATTTTTTTCTGCCTCTAATTCTTTCTTGCATGAGATCCAA